CCTCCCCCATGCAACACCTCTGGAACACCGCCCCCCCCCCCCCCACCCCAACACTTCCCCCATGCAACACACACTTGCAGCACTGCATTCCCTGCACCTCCCCATGCAACACTTGGAACACTGCTTTCCCTGCCTCTATGCAACACCTGGAGCACTGCATACGCACGACCCACCCCATGCGACGGCTGGGCCCTTGCAGTACCACTGCACTCTGCTTCCACAGAGCCATGCCTGGGCTGGGCCCCCCCACCAGCTCCCTTTTCCCAGGGTCTGGCTGCAAGATGTGAAGCAATGCTCTCCTGGCGCCCTGCCTCCCTTCCCAGAAGTCAGGCTTCCCTTGGGCACACGGACGGGCCAAACCTGTTCCGATCTTGCTGCTTCCGCACAGTCCTGTTAAGTCACAAAGGGCCTGCAATTTAAATCTCTTTCAGGCACTCTGAAAAAAACCCAAAAGAGCTACCCTAGGACATCAGCACATGCCTTGAAAAGGAATCAGTCTGCCACAAAAAGCACTGGGGAGTTGGGAAATACAATTTCTAAGATTGCACAGACTGTATAACCTGCCTTCTCGTGCACGTGCCAACATGGAGGACAGCGAGGCAGCGGGAATGTGAACCCGGCTGCCAAACACTGCCATTTCATGAGCACGGCAATGCTCAACCGGGAGGCCGGAGCATCCTGCGGTGCCTTGAGGTCCTTCTTAGGCTGCCATGCACTATTAGCATAGTTAACTGTGCAAACACAATGCACAAGATAAAAACCCAGAGATTACACATGCAACGCTCTTAAATCGGCTCCACTTCGGTTTTATCTATACACCACTCCCCATCCAAGATTTTTGTGCCTTTTGAGGTTATATTGTGCGTATCATACAAATCTACTGACTCCTAGCCTTTTGCAGGGATCCACAGATCCTACAGTTTCCTTAGGGCACAGGTTTAGCTGCCTGGCATTGACAATCCAGGTGAGAAATTCCCCAGGACTATTTAAATTGCAACCTACTATATACATCCCAGTGTCCAGTTCCAGCTTTCTGTATATAAAATACTTGGCATGTATAAAAATGGTCCCTGGCTGTTGGCTTGCACAAAACAGGATGGAACAATTTCACTTCGTGTCTGCAGCAAGAAAGCTTGTTAGTAGGTAACTATCAGTTTCCACTATATGGCTCTTTTTGGGACAGGAGCTCTTTTGCTACTCCTTGAGGGAGGATTAACGCAGCATGTTTAAAGAGGAGATCCCCCTTGAGTTTGGATTTCTTAATCCAAAAGGAGTGATTGTCATGGAGGAACAAAGATGCTCTTTGTATTTGGGATGACACCAGGTCCCCTTCTTGCCTTGGCAGGGAGGGGGTCTAACATGTTCAGCAATAACTCTTGGTATAGCAGACCACAATAAGGAAAAGTTACCCCCAGATTTCCTGTCCAAACCTGCACGAAATGTCACTTCCTCTGCGTGGCCTCAATAGACGCAGGCTGCTGCTCCAGCTTGGGTTTCTGCCCACCGTGAAGTCGCATTAAGGCTGATTTAGATTAATGCCGCTCAGGCTCTTAGCAACAGCACAGAGCAGGGCCCTTTGCTTGGGCTGCAATAGGGCTGGGCAATGGGCATGCTTCGCTCCCCTTGGCTTTTCAGCACCTTGGGGGGGTTAGATGCGTGGCAAGGAGCAGGACCTTAGTGCATTCACCGAATTGCAGGCAGAGCAAGGATGGCTTGCAACAGATGGGCCTTACTTGCAATCAGCTGGTTCCCTCCCAACACAGTCTGACCTCCTTCCAGAGCTCAGAAGGAAGAGTGCTACGTAATAAGAGCTAGGTATGAATTGTTTCTATTGTTAACCCCCCCAGAGCAGCTAGTTCTTAATTAGCTTCAGTGCGGGGGGGCCACAGGGTTATGTTCCCATGAGACTCACACCAATGAAATCCAGTTTGGCCTTGGAAGGATCCTTCCTGGAGGGTCCAGTCTTGCAGTCCTGCCTCTCAGCCAGTTCACTCCATAGTAATAAAGGGAGATGCAGACCAGTATTTCCAGAGATGGGGGAGGACAGGGTCAGATTTACCTCCCTGTGAGAAGAAGCATAACACAGTAGAAGAGGAACAAGCAAGGCAAGACCTAGACCCTTTAGCTTTCCCATTACCCTGCTTTAACCCATGGTAGGGAGCTAGCACAAACATTAACTAACCCACGCACCACATCCTCACCAGCCCTTTACCTTCCTGGCTGCAGGTGGGAGCTATTTCACTCACTCAAGAAGGCCTATTTTGCAAACCAGGTGTCACCAGGTTCAAGCAGACCTGTGAAGGGGCTGTCCCTATCTATCAGGAGTGCAAATACGGTGCTTAACCCTGCACAAGGAGACCTTAGAATAAGTTGTCCCTGTGTCTCCTGTTATCATCCCCCCCAGTCAAGAGCAGCCTGGTCATGAACTTGAATAGCAGCAGCAGAATAACCCCAGCTCTAGAAGCTGGGGTCCTTCCCAAAGTGGCTGATCCATGCTTTTTCTGTGCATCTGAAGTCCCCCAGGTGCTTTCTACCAGCCCCAGGTGGGCTTGATTGCAGCCAGCTCCAGGGCAAGGTCCTGGGACTCAGAAACAGGCTGGAAGAGGAAGGGAATGCACTGCCTGCTGCCAGGTAAGGGAGCTCAGTTCACAGAAAAGATGGTAAATTTAAGGTGAAGGGTAACAGGGATCAACACCCACCTGCCCACAGCAATTGCACAACCTCCTTTAGGCACTGGTGTGAGCCCTGAACTGCTCTTCACCCAGAGCAAGCTTGGGGTTGCATGTCCAAGACTTGTGCTTCAGAAAAAGCCCCGGGGCAATGCAAGGATTAGTGCAGCTTGGACCTCCCTGGGGCACACCAACCTTACTGCTGCTCTTCCCAGAAATGCCTGCTTGCATTTTTTCCCAGAAGGTTTTGGGGACTTCCCAGTGCTCCTCAGCCTACTCTACTGCCCCTTTACAATCAAACCTGCTTTGCAAACCTGAGGCCACCCGGAAGCCAACTTTATCCCTTCTTACCCCACCTGTTCCTAGAAAGGGAACAGCATTTTGTACATCTAAAGCTGCTTCTGCTTGGTTGCTAGAAGAGAAAGTAGAGACAAGCTGCAAGAAGTAGGTGAAATAGCAATATGGAGGAGCTGGGCATAGCTTTGGTTGAGGGTTTTAAGCAAACAGATGCACCAACCTATGCTAATTTGCTCTCGAGCATATTTTTTCCCCAGGCTCAGCTTCTGGGCAAGTCATGGCAATGAGGCCAGAGCTCCCAGAAAGGATGAACAGAAAAGCCCATTCCCTGGGGCCCAACGTCCAGGAGCAGCCCTGCCGCAGAAGCTGCCCAGAGGTCGTGTTTGTAGCCCCCAGATGTTTCCCTTGCCTGTCTACATGGTCACAGACATCCCCCACATGCCAGTGGCTCAGGGAAATACCAGCTCCCTTCTTTCTGCTGCCCACTTGAGGCTATGAAAAGCTTAAGGAGACAAGAGTGCACTTACATCTCCTGCCTTAGAAAGAAGTGCTCCATCCAGGCCATGAGTGGTTAAAAAAATAATGTTGATAAAATAAATGGAGGTTCCTTTTTATAGGAGAGACTTTTTTCCCAAGAGTTACAGTTTTTTTTTTTTTTTCCACCCCCCTATGGGATTTGACTTCCAGTTGAAGACTGCATTTCCCAGAATGCACCTTGGGCACCTGGTCCTCCAATCAGGGGTCATCAGCAGGTCTTCAAATACCCCCCTTGGAAGCGGGGCAGTGTTTCTAGAGAGAAGGTAGGAGAGCAGTTTGCAAGGACATCAGGCATCATCTAGCTGGGTGCAGCCCAGTCCAGGTGAGCTCCTTGAGATCTCCCAGCAGCAAATGCCCACTGGTGTTTGGGCCTATTCCAGTACAAGCTTGCGAAGGTGCTTAGATAAGAGCCTATGTTTCATGATCTCCAAGAGTTTACAAGTCCCCTAGTTAGGACTTGGATTTCTCTTGCTGAAAGCGCTCAGGTCCTGCAAAAAGTGGCTGTTTTAAGGAAACCACCAGGGATGACTTTGGTTGCTACTTAGGTCGTGTTTGGTTGGGTTGCAACGTATTCCACCAATGTGGTTGTATGGTTTGAATCCCTTATGGCTTGATTTTATTTATTTTTTTAATTCACGTTGCGGGATGCTTTCAGCTCTAGAAGGAAAGATAAGGTTTGGCTTCATCTACCAGAGTGCCCCATTTCTCATTGCATCGTATTTTTTGGCTGTTGCCAGCATTCACCAAATGCTCTCCGCAAGTGCAATAAATGTTAACGCTGTAGGCTTGCACTATGGTAAAATTGCAAAGAAATTTTGTGGTAAATGTAAGCCCACTGAGGACTATGTAGACCTTCTCCACTCCTTGATATATTTTGGTTTATGCATAAAAGGTTATCTTGGGGCTCAGCCTAGGTTTTCTTCCCAGCTCCATATTGATTTTCCTTGGGGATTTGAGCTTGTCTGGTGACTTGCAATGTTGAGCATCTGTTTCATGTGGAGTTGGAGCTGTGAAAGTCAGTGGACGCTGCTGGCAGGGCTTTAAAAGCCAGCTTAGCTCCTAAGTCCTTACCTGGATAAGGGCCGGATGTCCAAACACCCCCAGCATGCAAGACTCTCTCCCAAAAATCTGACTGCTGGTGTCTAAAATTGCATGCCCGCAACTCCCGTTCTGCTCTGGGAGGCTCAGCGTTCACGGATGCTTTTTACTGGCATTTCTCTTTGCAGGTTGGCTTGGGGTTTGGGGCATTAATGCCGTGAAGTGCTTGCCAAGTATGTGTTTCACTGAATGATAACCCCGCTGGGATGTGTTCCTGCCCATCTGTCCTCTCTTTACCAACCCTCTCCTATTTTAGACCATTGGAGGGTGCTGATATTCACCCTGGTTGGTATGTTCGTGTTTAGTTGGAGTTCATGCAGCCCAGGTAGCGGAGGCATCCAGCCTTTCGGAGCCCACATCCAGCCTCCTCCTGCAGCTTCCCACATACACGTAGCCTGTTTACTGCCCTGCAGATAATCTACTTGCCTATCCGGCTACTGCTCTTGCGGTCTTCTTGCCAGACAGGCTGCAGGGACATCTGAGCTCAGTCCATGCATGCTAGGTCCGGAGTGGAGGTGGCACTGCTCATTACCTCGGCAGAGTTAATTAGCCCCTCCAAAGTACCATGTCTTTGCATTTTGAGGGTAGGAGGGTGCTGAGCCCTATAGGAGGCTGCCCCTGGCCACAGGAATGGGTGAGGGGTCTTTATCCAGCATGGTGGTCCCCTGACCTCGTGGGCAAGGTGTTAACAGAGATCACGAGAGATCTGGGCTCTGTTCCCATCTATACTGGTGAGCTGCTGTTTATATATTTATTTATTGGGCAAGTCCCTGCTGCTTTAAATGCTTTGGTTCCCTCTATTGTCCTTTGTCTGTGTTGCATATTTAGATCATGAATTTTTTAGCACGGAAACTGGCTCTTGTAACTGTATTTGATGGTGTACCTCTCCAGTCTGGACCTGATGATCTTGCGAGGTCCCTGCTAGCCCTAATGTCTATGAAAACTCTGAAAAGACTAAAATTGTGAGAGAGGTTTCTTCTTCCCTCAGAAAAATGTGACTGGATATTGATCAACTTTTAGTACAATGCTTGCAATGATATTAAGTTAGGTAGCTTCGCTGTATCATAGACTCGTAGAAAACGAGGGTGGGAAGGGACCTCAGGAGGTCACAGCTAGTCCAACCCCCTGCTCCAAGCAGGACCAGCCCCAGCTACAGCATCCCAGACAAGGCTTTGTTGAGCCAGGTCTTAAAAACCTCCAAAGATGGAGATTGCACCACCTCTCTGGGTAACCTGTTCCAGTGTTTTACTACTCTCCTCGTGAGAGAGTTTTTCCTAATATTCAACCTAGACCTCTCTTGCTGCAACTTGAGTTGAAGGATGCACCCTAATTTTGGGCCTCCTTTTTCAGTGGGGGAAATGCACGTTATATGCTAAACTTCACAGTTTGTGTTTGTCCAGCTGACATACCCAGAAATCCAATTTTGTTCAAGCCTGTAGATACGATTAGGATACAGATAAAAAAAAATAAAATGTGCGAGTTGTGCATCCGCTGATTGTATAACTTGGTCTGAAATAATCTTGTTCACCAAAGATGTTTTCTTTGTTAGGAAACTGCAGTGTCTGTTAGTCCCTGATATTCCTGGCTCATACAGAGATGTCTTTTCCCTACCACCCTTTTCTTGTGCCATCTAGCACTGGAAGATATAAATGCATTTAGCTTGAGATGCTTCACCACTTTTCCCATTAAATCACATGCTGCAGTTGCTCCCCGCCTAGACTTGCTGCCATTTGGCGTGTGATCGCACAACAGCAACATGGAGCTATCTGGATTTCAGTGGAGACCCGGGTCTGGTGATATTATTAGGATGCTTCTCTCTTGCATGTGGCTTGATGCAGCCTTTTGGTTTGCAGATGTGAATTTGCACAATGAGTGATAAAGAGGAGTCTGGAGGCAAAAGGGCTATGGGGAGCCCTAAGAAAACTGATCTGGAGGCATCATCGTTGATGAAGACAAAGGACAGCGTGAGCAGGTGGGTACTTCGGTCAGCAATGATATGCTGTCACTTCATACCTAATGCACTCATTGAATGGCTGGCGAGAGGCCTGTGGGCGTTGGCCATTTGCTGGTACAGAGGTTTGTCGTGTCAAAGTTTCATATAAGAGATGCCATGCGGCTCTGAGTTCCAGCTTCGGTACCTCTTCCCAGGTTGCTGCCCTAACCGCTAGACTGCAACACCAAGTCCTTGTGGTCTCACTGGCCCAGCAAACCTTGCATTGGCTCCTACCCATTAACACGGGTTTTGCAAGAGGGATGGATCATGTCTGCACCCAGAATAACCTAGAGCCCTTGGGTTTGGGCTGTCCTCTTGGTGAGGGAGAGCTCTTTTAGGCAGAGTAGGGATTTGAACCCTGGCCTTCTCCATCCTGAGCAAGTGCATTGATCAGGTGGGGACAGGGGCCTGCCATTGCTACCAACCCCACTGCTACTGTCATTGCTATCCAGCAGACTGGAGCCCACAGCTGCCTTTTATGTGGCCCTGATCCTGTCGGTGGTCTGAATGCCTTCTGGACCGTGCTGCTTGTTTCTGGTACCTGGTTGGGTGTAGACAGGAGTGAGCAATGAAGGGCTCAACCCTGTCAGGACAAGGGCTGCTCCAAGCACGCTCAGACTTGTGACTTGAGGCATCTTTACAGTGAAAAGTATAAGCTGGGTATGGAGGTGGGGTATCTCCAGGGCTGGGTGACTGGATGGGATGTTTCAGGAGCACAGGGCCAAGGTGAAATTCAGCCTTCCGTATCCCTTTCTGGATCTGGGCCTTATTCTTGCTAGGACTTGACACTAAGAGCCCTTCTCTCCCTTGCAGTGGAGACTCAGGCTGGTGAGAGGCTTGTGTGCTTCAGTGATGGGATCAGACAGGGATTTTAGCTAGAAAGCCTTCTCCTGAGGCATCTTGTGAAAACTGTTCAAACGCTGCAGGCTCCGGCACCTTGAATCATTTCCTTTAAGTCTGGGAGAGTCTCTAAATTATTAATTCATTAATGCCAGCACTGCTCAGATACTTTCCAGGCTCCCAAACCTGGATGGTGTCCTGTCCTGTCATCAGATGCTCCTGGCAGGGCCCAATCCAGAGATGCAGTGGAAATAGCTTTCCAAGTGGAGTAAGTGGCCATGCACCGAGGCAGTCTTCATGACTGAAGAGCATCCACTAGAAGCAAGGGCCCTGTTGATATGCTCCCAAGCTTACTGCACAGTAACTTCCCTGCAAACCCACAAAGACAGCCCTCTTTGTGGTTCAGGTGGCTCCATGTCCATCACGAACTGAGCTATACTGCCTAAAGGAACAAGCGTGTGCACATGGACAGTTAGCTCGCTAAACACGGGAAGTTAGCACGGATTAGCGGCTGTATTTGATGCGCACCGTAGCTGTTTTTGCTGCTGCTTCTCTATGGAGCCAAGTCAGAGATGATGGCAGCTCCGGAGGATTTTTATGGCAAACAAATGAGTGCGACTGTTATTTCAGTGCTGGTCCTTCCACAAATACTGCAAGGCTGTGATGTCTCTCACCAGGGGCTCTATTTGGCTGTAGGAATAGCCACAGGTGAGTTTTAAAGGCATCAGTATGGACTGGAACAGGTGGTGTTTCAATTCTTGGGAAAGCATCTTAGTACAAATGAAAGGCATTAACTAGTGGGGAAAGGATGGCTTGGTTTCTTTGTTTTTTTTTTCCAGCGTAGTTCAAGAAGTCCCACTGGCTGCTTTGGGTTGTCTCCCCAGTCATGGATGTGTTTTTCTTCTTTAAGGAAAATAAAAAGCGACTCTGAGCAGAAGCAGCCGAAAGCAAAGGCTGGGAGCAGGGAGCAGGAAGAAACTCAGCAAAGCAATCGGGTAAGAGTGCATTGGGTTTTAAGGGGAAAAACTGATCGCTGTCCCTTTGATGGGAGAAGCAGCAGCCACAAACAGAATTATTACAGCCCCTGGCAGTGTTGCATCCTGCTGCTCATTTTAGAGGCAAAAGGTTATTTCTTCCCCTGGGAAAGTCATGCAGAGGATCCCGTCCCTCGATGAGATGGGGATAACTGCACTTTCCTACCCCACACTGCCACAGGAGGAAACACAGTGATTTAGGGGTCTGGAAAACATGACTGATGGTTGGGAGACCTGGGATTATTTAGCCTGGAGCAGAGGAGACTGGGGGGGGTGGTGTTTGATAAGCCTGCAGATACCTGAAGGGTGATGATGGAGAGGACAGACAGAGGCTATTTTATGTGGCTCCAGGGGACGGGGCAAGGAGCAACGGTCTCAAATTGCAGCAGGGGAAACTGAGGTTGGGGATTAGGAGGAGCTTTGACTCTAAGGGTGGTGAAGCCTTGAAACAGGCTGCCTAGAAAGGTGGTGAAATCTCCATCCTTGGAAGTTTTCAAGAGCTAGACGCTTGGCTGGGATGGTTTAGTGGGGGACAATCCTGCTTTGACAGGGGCGTGAAGTAGAAGTGACGTCCTGAGGGCCCTGCCAGCTTGACTTTTCTATGCTCCTGTGATATAAATAGCTTAAAATTGCTTTGTCTGAGGTCTGGTAGGAAGCTTTGTGTCTTGAACTCCACAAACTCCCCTTTGCAACCAGGGAGAGCAGTTCACATGGTTTAGGAGTCGTCATTCCTGTGTCCTCTAGTGAGCTGCAAACCTGAGCAGCCTTGGCCAGGGCATCTGGTTTTCTGAGGTGCCCACCTCCTGTTGACTTCAGTGAGCTTTGTGTGTGCTCAATATGTCTGAAACATGGGACTTAACCTTAGTTTCCTCCTCTGTAAAATGGGGGTAAACCTTAAACCCAGCAGAGTTAAGGCTCAATGAGCAATGCTTTGAGATTCTCAGTGAAAGCATTTATTTTCCACAAAGCTGGCTGGGCTTTGATACGTTTAGTGTGGAACAAGTTGTAATGGTTCAGTGCTGCGTATCCCTGATATATTATAGTAGGGCAGGAACAACCTCCATTCTAGCTGCGCTTCTAAAATATTTTCCCTATTTTCTTTGTTGTGACACACAGCCCCCGGGGCCAAAAGAAAAAAAGAATTCAAAGAAATTGAAAGAAAAGCCCTTGCAAGAAAACATCATCAGCAGGTAACTTCTAACGAGGTGGCACATCCAAGGGCAGGAAAATGTCTCTTAGTTTGGTGTTTTAAAAGTATTTTTCCTGTTTATAAATGGCTGGTAAGTGATGGGGGGTGGCAGGGGCACATGACCCATGGGAACTGGGATAAATTTTAATCTACTTGAACCATCAGAGAAAGTTGGTAGGTAGTTGGGGAAAGAAGTGGAGTTGGGTCTACTGCGCTTCTCTCTCCTACAGCCCTTTTGCTTGATTTCAACTCCTTGTTTTTTTGTCGATTTGTGCTTGTTTTTTGCTAAGAAGCTCTCTGAAGCAAGAGGTGGCTGCGGAGAATGAAGTCTCCGGTCAGAAGCCAGAAGAGAAGCCAAAGGATCCAGAGGTGGAGAAAGTCAGGCGTAGACAGGTAAGTCTCTCATGCCTTCGAGAAGTCGTGACAGATGCTATTTTAGGCTGTGTGCAGTATGGAGCAAAGGAGTGGAAGCTCCTAATAGGAGGGGATCGCTTAGTTCTCCTGTAGATTGGGCGCAACGTGTGCTGCGCCTCTGTTCAGATCTGTGGTACAGAGTGGAATGAATATATAGGTTGAAGCGAATGCAGATACACCCCCTTGGATTTATAGCAGACTAACCAGGGCTGCGTTGCAACTGGGCTTTCCTTTAGAGGGAGACGGGTGATGAAAATATCAGCTGTGATGCTAGGGACTGGAGCAGAGCAGCTGTCCCCCTGCAAGCCCTGGCACCGAGCTGTGCTGCTGGGCACGCCACGTAGTCAAGAAGAGAAAAAGCCAAGGGCCTGGCAGTGTCCATTAGACTCATCTCAGTGCCCTGGCTGGAGTCCAAGCAGAGTAATTGCATGGTCTGCTGTAAACGTGAGATTGCTGTCAGGCGATTACATCGGAGCACTGTGCAGGGTCAAGTGAACCAGGCTGCAGCTATTTCAGGGCCCGTCTGGCATAATCAAGAGCCCATTTAGACAAAGCGCTAGAACCAGCCCTGCTTTGCGCAGGCGTTAGATCGGTCTCTGTGCTTAAGAAGGTCAATACTGCATCTGTGCAATGTGTCGATGACTGGATCTGCATCGTGCCATTGCCAAGGCACCGGGTCTTTGCCTCCATTCTCTTGGGCCCCTGGGTAGTGTGAAAGGAAACAGCTTCTTTTAAATAACATTTTGTTTCCAGGCCCATATCAGTTCTGAATTAAGTTCTAAATTTAATAACCTCATAGAAAATGAGGGTTGGGAGGGACCTTAGGAGGTCACATCTAGTCCACCCCCCTGCTCCAAGCAGGACCAGCCCCAACTACATCATCCCAGCCAAGGCTTTGTCTACCCAGGTCTTAAAATCCTCCATGGATAGAGACTCCACATCCTCTCTAGGTAATCTGTCCCAGTGCTTTACTACCCTCCTAGTGAGAGTTTTTCCTAATATCCAACTTAAAACTTCTCTTGCTGCAACTTGAGCCCATTGCTCCTTGTCCTGTCATCTGCCCCCACTGAGAACAGCCCAGCTCCATCCTCTTTGCAGCCCCCCTGCAGGGAGGTGAAGGCTGCTATTCAATCCCCCTCCGTCTTTTCTCTTCTCTGGACTAAACAAGCCCAGTTCCCTCAGCCTCTCCCCATTTCGACTGAGAAGAGCTCAGCCATTCAAGTCTGGGTGGCGTTACCACCAGCAAGTATCCTGCCTCCCAGACTTGTCAGTCTGCAGATCCTCCCAGATCCAGGGCAGGCATCCTACATGCAAACCCCAAGCCTGGAGGCCTTGGAGTAGAGGTGCCACCCAGTCTCACTTGCCCCAAGCCAAAAGCCCGAAGGAGCAAGCTAGAAGGAAAGCCCGAGAGCAACCCCCCATAAATCGTGTAACTGAGATCCTTCCTTTTGGATGCATTTGCAGACTCTCTTGGGGGTCAGCTTGCCCACAGTGCATGGGAGAGGCCTTCACCCTCTAACTACACTGGAGTCATTTGACTGTGGCATTTAGGTTGTGGGGAGTAAAGCCTTGAACCCTCAAGACTTCTGTGGAAGTCACTAGGACTTTATTAATATTGGAGTACGTTTCTTCCACCCCGAATGAATGGTCACCATTAGTTGTTGGCCAGTCGTGCCTCTGTGCCAATAGAGCTAAACACGAGTTTTTTCGGAGGTCCTACCATTTATCTCCTTCCTCTGTGCAATTGTGCAGTTCCAGAGAGGATTGTGAGTTGCAAGGGAGATGCATCTGGAGGCAACGATTGAGCTTGTGGGCAGCGCACACCCTTAATTCATAACCAGCATTAAGATATTGCTCCAGAAGCAGCTGCTTTTAACCTTCTCCCAAAATGTCCACATGATCTGAGCAGCCTTAGACTTAAAAAAAAAAAAAAAAAAAAAAAAAAAAAAAAAAAAAAAAAAAAA